TTTGCAAGGGAATTATCCCGCAGCTTAGTGATGGATCGGAAGCACTGCTGACTTCCACCATCCAATCATGTGCAAGTATTTATTTTTTCCCCTTGCTCATGATTGGGTATTCTTTGCAAAGTGAACGTTCACATTCAGTAAGCTAAGTGGTAAACTTTGTGGAATGTGAGATCGCAGTCGCAAAGTCGGATAGAAGTGACATTTCAGGACCGATCAGCTGTTCCAGGGCAGATCGGTTCTCCTGCACATACCATCTGCAATGCCGATCTGCCCTGGAACAGCGGAATGCTTCACCTATTGCCGGTCACATATTCCACCGCTGAAAAACTGGGCGGGATTACGTTAGAATGTGTGACCACGTCACCGGTCACTCATTCTAACGCAGTCACAAACTTTGATAGAACACCGGCAGCTGAACTGAAAGCAATGGCCCAATGACACGTGTGTGACCGTGCAGCATTGCGTGTGCTGGGGCGCCTGTAGCTCTCTATAAACATGCAGAGCTTCGAGTACCTCAGGTAATGGGATGAGGGACCCGATTCAATATATCTCATTCTTCTGTGATCTGCGGCCTCCGACATCTGTGCAGCTGTCATAGAACAAGATATATGAGGAATATTCATTGATGACTTGACACTGCCCCAGAGCCTCTTCTGTTCCATTTATCAGAAAGGTGGTGTAATAGAGCAGGGGCAGTCCGCCTCAGCACTCAAGCTGTTGTGGAACTACAAGTCCCATGAGGCATTGCGAGACAGCTATGAGTCCTGGAGGCCGAGACGTGATGGGATTTATAGATTTAGCACAGCCACGGTGCCAAGGTTGTCTACCCCTGTAACAGTCAGGTCAGATGAGCGTTCTGTATAGAAATGTTGTACTCTACCAGCTCAGGGATGAATCGTTCCCAGCCACATATCCATGGCGCAATGCAGCGAAGACCAGCTCCCGAAAACGGTCATGTGACGGGGAACTGATAATCGCCCAAACAAGTCTGCGCTGAGCTGGCGCAGGACCGCAGACACTGTACACGCTGCGAGTTGCGTTCTAAGTCAACTTCCTGCCCGAGCATTCCGCCGCGGCAGCTTCTATCCTAGCAGACCGCAGGCTTCTTCCAGACCCGGGACTCGGTGAACCTGTTCAGCTTCACTGCCCTGGAACTAGCACGTGGCATATGAATTCGGGTTGTAGCCCTGGGAAGGAGGGGGATCTAACCCCTAATGTGTCACCTATGTGCCCGCTTTACTTTATAAACCTTTATCAGTATAATTCCAGTAACCCGTCACAGAAAAGAAGATGGCGGCCATATTGAATATCTTTGTTATAAAGAATCCGATTGTTTTATATTATTCATTTTACTGTTTTTTTTTGCTCTGGGGACATGT